ACTCTATCACTTTGTCTCTCTTTGAATAGGATGTAGACCAGATTATACTCTATCACTCTGGGTTCTAGTCTTTCTAAAAGTGACACCGTGCATCTGTCTGCCCGGAGCATTTGCGCATGTACACACTGACATTTCTTAGCACATGAGCATCTGACAGCCTTATAACATGGTGTTAAGAACAAATAGTATGGGTGTAATCAGTCAATCAATTAATCAGCAGTTAATTGTAATTATAGCTCACAGGCTGAGCACCACCTGCAGAACAGCAGGCTTTTAACGGACCTGCTGCTGATTTCCAACACAAGCCTTCTACTCAGTTTAACAGCACTGGCATCAGGGGAGAGATACATTAAACCCATAGTCAGTTTTAGAGCACAGCCAACAGAGTGTTATTGTAAGTGAGTCATAAATGCTCCCTAATAAGCAATAATCAAACACAACATTTACCAATAATTACGTCCCTCTGTAATGGCGCCAGTCGACTTCATGCTACCAATCTCACCACTGGAGAATGAGTTACTGTTTAACAAGAGCGAAGATAAAGTGCAAACACTGATCACTGATCACACTGATGACTGAATTGCTTAACAGGGAATGAAGGATCAAAAGAAAATCAGTTTACTGTAAAGACTGCTGGTATCAAAGAAGTGAGCAAACAATGCTTTATACTTAATCATGAACTGCCTCTGCACATGATAACAGAGTCAGTTTGTTCATTTTGACTACTCTTCTGAACCAAACTCAAAGAATCCCCAGTTTCTGGCATATTATCAAATAGCAGGAAGATAAAGAAAGGAAGAGAGATGGAAAAATGGTAATGCATGACACAAGTATTACAGAGATAATACAAGGCTGGCAGCAAAAATGTAATACAAACCGGGCTTCAGCTGTAAATGGATCTGTAGCATGGAGACAGGAAGACACGTGGTTTTAGTGACAAGCCAAGTGTGTTTAAGCTTACCTTGGAGTACTGTCTACGAAGACTGAAGCGCTGCACCATCCTGACTGCCTGAGTGACGGACCCACAGCTGGATCCCCTGTTCTACTCCTCTCTGCTGATATCCTACCAAAGTACACACCGCCTCACATAGTACACTCCACACTCACGCCAAAGGCACACATGCTACCATCCTCTCCAAAGATCCATGTGCACACACATTTGTAGTCCACACCGCTCTAGTCATCTACTATGCAAACACAAGTGGGGAGGGGGGTGAAAAAAAGGGAGGGAGAGCAAAAGGAGATAATAACAGCTCAGCCGTGTTGCCCTCTACTCATATTCACAGTGATCCCCTGAGCAACTCTCTTTCTCTCACAAGATACAGTCACTCAGACAAAATACTCACACCACATGGCTGTCTATACACAAAGAATATTCAATAAATACACACACACACACACACACACACTCAGAGAATCTGGAACGCAGATGAAATGAGGTCTTACGTTCACACATGCACACAACCCTCCACATCCTCTTCTGAACACAGGAGTGATTCACACACAGCTCTCACTCATCTAGGACAAGGCAAGGTTGCCTCCTGCTTCCTGTCAGTAGGCTGAAGGGTGGGGTGAAGCGAAGGTGGTGGCAGAGGATGAGAGGAAGGAGGGGGAAATTGGAGAGGAGGAGGAGGAGAAGGAGGAGGGACCAGCTGACTATCTGTATCAACTCTCTCCAGGGACAGAGGAGGGGGACAGGGAGGGAAAGACAGAGGAACAATGAGGGGCGAGGGAGGGGGGGGGGTGTTCAGAAAGGGAGAAAGCAAGAAAGAAAAAAGAAGTGCGACGATCAATGAAGAAAATTGATCGTTCACCGAACATCCATCATTCTTGATGCAACACTCAACCTCCATAGCAGCAGACCTCACACACCTCCAAGGTCAACCACGCTGTTACTATGACAACCTAAGCAGGGCGTAGTCCCAAGAAAGCAAGTTTCAGGGTAACCACGGCGACCGCTCGATAACCTTAATTGCATTGCTGTGTTGTAGTGTGGAGACATGACTATGATGGTAGTTAAGAGAAGAGCCAGACAGGTTATAACCTCTGCCAAGGTCAAGCAGCAGAACTCAGAAAGGTTGATGGTCGTCCATCATAGCAGCAAGACTAATGGAACACAGATGACTGGCTCTCAGCCTTGCTCTGTCACTCAAGGTGAGCTCATTCATGCAGGAATGAAGTATACTTGGTTTTACAGATGAAGAAAGAGGAGAGGGCTTTACTAAATTTAGCTCACACATTCTAGCCTGCTGCTTAATGTGGATATCAAGGCCCACTGGCCTAGACTTACTCCCCACCACTGGCTTAAAAGCCAGATAGCCAGACGTCCTTCTGTCTATGACACATTGATGCTTTTTCTTGGCATGGCTTACTTCATTAACCAAAAGGATCAGTCTGGTCTACAACAAACATGAGCTCATAAAGCAAACACTCCCAACACATGAACCAAGCCCAGTGCTGCTCACAGCAGGAAGGCTGATCTAACAGCGCCCTCTAGTGGTAATGAGAAACAACTGGAGTCAGGAACACCAAAGGTGGTTAAAGTCAGAACTTAAGGTCAACTTTTACAAGCAAATTACGTAGGAAGATAAAAGCACTTCCATTAAGAAACGGCAGCTAAATGGCTGAAAACAAGCAAATAAAGAAAAAGAAAAACTAATATCAATGGCTTACACATTGTGGGGTCTGCAGTTTTTTGTTTCTTTTTGCACCACAAAAAAGCAACAAAACAAAGCAATGAGCAATATCAGTGTAATTAACATACAAGTTAGGGGTTGAGATTTCGTGGTCATTGAACATCGCCTTTTTTTGTGGAATAGAAAAGTGAAAAAGTTTAAGAAACAGACACTGCGGAAATGTCACACCAGTCTACCCTTAATGATCCAGTTACAGAGCAATCAAAATATTGCAAATCTATTACACAAGTTTTACTTAATAGGTGAATTTTGAAGCTGGTAACTACTAAATTGCAGCAATTATTAGTCTTCCTTTCCTCATGCAATCCTCAAAAAAGCCACACCTTACAGTACTTTTGTGAATGAACTTAAAGACAGCACAGTAAGAAGGTTGGAAAGTGATTTAACTTTTGTTTATTGCTTAGCAATCCAGGTGGCAACCTAATGAAGTTATTTAAGACAGAAAGTAGAAAGCTGTCTTAACCTTTTGTCATGTACATTCAGTGAAAAGGAATAACAAAGTCTAGTAGTCTTTATTCCTATAGGTTTATCTGAAGTTATTATATTGCTGTAAAACAAAGAGGCAAACAGGTCATAAAATAGTCCCATTTTAGAGGATACTTACGTAATCTGCATCACATAAAATTACTTTCAGATAAACTTTGGGAAAGTATTTATACAAAGAACAAAGGCTGGATTATGACCTTTATTACTTCAAGTGGATGCATGATAGAAAAGGATTTTTTATAATTAAATTAAAACAAGCTACACCTCTAGTTGTGTTCATATGGGCATGTGTCTATTGTTAATCCTGAGCCTATATTTCAACACTGACTACACCAGCGGTGGAGAACCTGCTTTTCTGGAGCTCATGCAGCTCTTTTGTCCATCTCTTGTGGCTCACTTTGGTTTTGATTTTTTCAACTGAGAAATATGAACATGGAAATTAATTGGATTTTTTTTTCAACATTTGAACTTTTATTCATCATTTAAGTGACTGCAAAAATGTGCAGCCAATACAAGGATTTTAAAGAAACACTTAATATGTCTGTGGCCTGATTGTCTTATTCTTTTAACTTTGATGACCCTCAATTGTCATGGCTGCCATAGATTTATATACAATTAAATGACTTCAGCAACCTCAAGTCAGTTTACATATGAACTCCAAACAATACGTGGACAGATTAATTCGCTTTCACTGCCTCTGTGTTGGCTTACTGGAGTGCTTGCTCTGTGGCTGGAATTTAGTCAAAATTAAAACTGGACGTGGCTTTTTTTTCTTATCAAAGATGGACTGAAGGGGAGACCCATATGGAAAAGAAATAGTAAAAACTTATATGATTTACTCATGAAAGTGGCCACTTTCTCATTACTTTCATATATTGTTTTAGTAAGTATCCAAAACAATAATTTTTCAAGGGATCTTATATCTGTTTTCACTCTTGTATGCTTTTCACACAAGTTTCACACAAGACAGATACAAACTTTATAAGATTTATATGTATCTTTTCCATATGGGGAGATATAGCAATTTTATCCAATTTTGGCCCAAAATGTAATTTTATTCTAAGTTTGTGTATAGATACTCCCACTCTACATGGTCAAATGCTTCACATCCAGGGAGAGGACAAACTCAGAGGTCTCAGTGGGAGGAGAATAAACTATGGATATTAAAATACGAGTGGTAGGATTCACAGTGGCCATAATATCTTTATAGTCACTCTTCTTTAAAGGTTGACTCTTGGCTAAAAAATACATGATATTGTTCAGTTTTGTTGGTAATAAATAAGTAAACCTTTTTTGATGCTTTAGACATGCAACACAACATGTGTTATTATATTCTTAAATTAAAAATGCATGCATGCAACAGCCCACTGCAGAGTGATCACATGTGGTAAAAGATTTTAATTATTTATTCCTATTACTGAGTTTGATGGGCTAATTTATATTTAATAGGCCGCCACCTTTATTATAATATGTCAAAAGTTGCTCAAAAATGTCTCTCTTGATAGTAAAGTTAGCCAGACCTTGGAGTACACTGTTCTATATACACTCTACATGTGTGTGCATGCCTTGAATAATAGCTCAATTTTACTAGAACAATAGTCAGCATTGGGAAAATTCAACAGCAGTAATGACACAGAGCAGGCCCATCTCAGAGCGTTCACTGTTGAACAGCAGGAAAATTTACATTAGCAGCAAAATGAACCTCAGCTCTTGTTCGACAGTCCACTGACAAATGAGGTCTGACACTACTGAATAGAAAAACAGAGGCACATCGATAAACTTGTGTAATGATTATGATTAATGGCTCCTGTCACCTACCCTGTCTGTCTCTTCTGTGGACTGGTAACCTGATGACAGCAATGCATCGCCGCTGGAATATCCTGGGGCAGGGCTGCTGGGTGTGGTATCGGTGGTGGAGGAGGAGCGTGGGCGGCTAATATGCTGCTGCGGATCATGGGTGTAGCGGCGTTGCGGGGCTTGAGGGCTACCTTTCAGAAGAGGATCACGATCTCCACTCCCAGATCCCGACCCAGAACCCTTACTTCGCCGGCTCTGCAGGCTGGTCCCACGCCTCATCATGCCTGCAGCGGCTGAGCCCTGGCCAGCTGCAGAAGGAACCATAGGAGCAGAGAAGATGTCAGAGTCAGGACAACAAGACTCTGAGGCATCCTCGGGGGCACAAGGGGAAGTGCCACATGCTGACACCACAGAGGAAGATGAGGAGGATGATGAGGAAGTGATGGTGGAGCGAGAGAGGGAGAGACGTTTACGCTGCTGTTGGAACAGCTGCTTCAAACCCTGGCCAAGAACCCCCATGCTCGCCCTGGCGTTTTGGCTCATCTTAATCAAGGAAGGGTGATCTGACTCAGAAAAGGCCCTCTTCAAACCTGAGCCTTGTGACCCCCTTGTCACAGAACCTGAACTGGGTCCCACCCTCTCTGGCGCCATTTGACTTTTGTCTCCCTGCTGCATATTGTCCTGCTGACTCTTCATGAATAGCAGAGAGAATCTGTCCAATCAAACAACCTGCGAATGCCTCCCTTCCTCTCTGTCAGGCATGCAGATGGTCAGACTAGATCACTGACTGAGAAGACTAGAAAACAGCAGAGATCAGCAGAGGACAGTGGAAGTGGTGATTGGACTGTGATGGGAGGGTTGGATCAGCTTATTGGCGGTCAGAGGGATCCAAAAGGGAGCATGCATCTTTGACTCAGGAACAAATGGTCATTCTGGTCTAACACAGAGAAAGGAGATGGATTATGAGTGGATGAAAAGTTACCTAGATCCAGGTGCAAACCCTAACTTTCACATACACAACATTTGCATCTTAACATTTTTGTTCCAGTGTTTGATAATAATTGATATTATTTCAATGTCAATATGTCATTATCAAATATTGGGTAGGAATAAAGTAAATTAAGCTGGATCTTGGTAAACTAGCACAATTAAAATAACACAAAAGAGGCAAAAAGACGAAAAATATAGACTAAATAAGTGTGCATGTTAAGATTATAAACAGCCTGGATGGGATGCAATCAGAATAGTAAAAAAGGAGGAGATGAAAAGAGGAGTGAGAGAAGGGGAAAAAGATGATGACTAACATCAGAAGAAGAAAAACCCACCTACCATCAGCCAAACTGTCATTCTAATGTGACTCACTCGTCTGGGTTACCTAAGAGGAAGATGGACAGATGGAAAAAGACCAAAGATTGAATCATTTTTAAGATTCAGAACTTCAATCATCAGTCGTTGACCTTATAAGAAATATCAGCACCGCTTCCTGATTCCAATCCGCTACCGTGAATATGTACGCTCCACTGAACAGAAGACACAAACACATGGAAACACTGTATGTTTGCATGTGTTTGTGTGGTTCTCAAGGAAGTAATTTCAAATCCCCAAAGGCATTCTCTCCTTGCCCTGAGGAAGTATCGAGGGATAAGGATTTCCTCAGCAGAAACAACATATAGAGTAGTGTCACAGAGTGCATGAAATCCTGTGCCGTCTGACACAATACAAGCCATCGGCAAAATAACAGAGAAGACACCTGCTAAAATAGAAGGAGTCTTTCTGAGCAACATTATTGGTTGATCAGTGATCACCTCATAGATGGGAAGGCAGCCTGACTCTCCCTGCAGCATGAAAAGCTGCTCCCATTAAGGACAGCAAAACAAGCAAGCAAGTCTAGATCATTCAAAACCCTGGGGAGGCACAGCTATATACCCAAACTATATCATTCCTTTAGCTGCACTGCCTGCCCATAAAGAATAACGCAAGGTTTATCAGACAGGCACACACACTCACTCACACACATCTCACAACAAACAGAAGGGGGTGGAGGATGAAGCAACATGCAAGTGTCATATCAGTTCTTGCAACAGCTACACTGTCACTGCCAAAAGAAGATGCATTCATGCACATAAAAACATTCCATTCAATTCAGCAAGGTAAAACGCATGCACACAGATGCTTTTACTTTCTCTGCCTAAATCTTATCTCTTAGCTCGACTGACAGATTCAGGCCACAGGGTTCTAATATGATTAATTTGGAGGCTATGAGTTGATATAGGATGGTGCCAATCAGTTAAGTGCAACTGTTGCCTGCCAGAGAGAGAGAGAAAGTGAGAGTGAGAGAGTGTGAGACAGGTGTTAAGCAGGTTTATTTTAGTCACCTGAGTGCTGGCTGCTGGCTGTACTCATAATATGGTTGTGCTAACTATGGTCTTTAAATTTAGTACTTACAATCTTTACGCTGGCACGCATTCCATAGTAAATAATAATACCAAATGATTGCAATATCCAATCCTGCCGGGAATAATTAACTTTACACCTCTTACTAAATAAAAAAATATAAATATTTGATCATAGAATTCAGTTCTTAACAAACAACTTTCTTCAGCTGATCTCATGTGGATGCAGTCTTCCCATGATGAGACTAAATATGAGACTGAATAAAGATGCATGATGACGTGCTCGAAATATGTTGTTTTCTATGCAACCAAGCTTACCACCTGAGCTGTTTCTCACAGAAGGTGACAAGTTATGCATAAGCTGTACACCGTACTCAATAATACACGCATATTTGAAGACAGATTCGCGCATGCATCGTCCGCTGGCACAGTGAGCGACAGGGAAGTGTGAATCACTGATGATGAAGCATTAAATTTCTTTCAGAGCTTGCGAGTAAAGGCATAAAAGTTAATCCTATCCTGAAGCTGAAGCTGAAGTCTTGTTTCACCCCGGTACCCATCCATCCATCCATCCATCCATATAAATCCCCTTCTTCATCCCCAGGCTGATCCCAACTGCAGGATTGGGTGTTTTCTTGATTGCCTGCGGTTTCATAATCACACCAAATCCTCTTTGAGGAGTCTTTAGAGGACAACGCTTTATTGTCAGACTTGATGTGTATGCTTGCGTCTTTGTTCAGTTTTAGCAAGCCTTGCCAATCTACCTTTAAGAAGAGAGAACATACGAACACCAGATGGATCTTTAAAAGCAGCTGTGTTCTTCTGACATAAGCTACTTCATTTCATGACTGTATGCTGACCAGGATACTGCAAGAAATTGTTTGTGAAAATATGTATTTTGATTGCTCACCACATAATAATGATTATCAGTGATCAACAGCGTCAGTGACAACCAGGGGCAGCAGCCTGTGTGAGTCAGCATGTTGCTCAGAGATTCTGCGACGCTGCCAAAGGTAAATCACAAATCACCACATGAACAATGGCCTCTCTGGAACTCCGTCACCCTCACTCAGTCCCTCACATAAATACACACACACATTCTTGTTCACAGCACTGTGTCTCACACCAGTCAACTGAGCTGCCATTTGTCCTCTTCTCATTTGCCAGCTTAACTGGAGAAATGGAGGAAAAGGCTTGGCTCAACCTGACTCAGTTTATCACTTTAAGAAATGAAAGATATTGTGATAAACACATAAAAAAACTACAATCTTCTATTGAAGTTTCTCTTTCTCTCTGTTCAGTTGCTCTGCTTGGCAATATATTACATACTGTGCTGTAAATGTTCATTTAAGCTCTGGATAGAAAACAGCTGCAGAATCATTCAGACAAAATGACTTTCTAACACAGATTCACCACCAGTTTGCGAAAAATGATACCCATTATTGTTATTATTACACAAAAATATTATTTAAAAAGGGCTGGAGCTCAAGAGCGATAATACTGAGAGCTACAGAAAGTTAAATGATAAAACAGGCAATCTGCAAATACGCAAAATGTGAGAAAAATGTTTTTTTCAACAGCTCCATAATTGAAATATCGACATTTAATGAGGACTTTGCCATTAAATTTTGTTCCTAAACAGGACATTGTGCATGAAGAACCCAAAGCAGAGGTCAATCTGGCTTGCATTCACTGACACTGAAGCAGCCATGTTGTTGTTCATTGCTGAACATACAGTTGGTGGACTCAAAATATGGCTATAGCTTAAACAAGCAAATGCAGTGTTTCCAGAAGAGTCTGAGAGCTGGCGTGGAATAGACCGCTCTTTGTTCGCTCTGAGCTCACACATACAGGCCCATTGCTGCTCTTTGTGCTGTGCCTCTTTCACTGACAGACACACATCAATAAGAGTGGAATTAGGCCAGAGAGTTCGCTTGGTGTTTGTGTTTGCGTGCGTGGACAAATATGTGCGTGCATGCTTGCATCAGACAGAGACAGAGAAGGAAGACAACGAAAAAAAAAAAAAAAAAAAAGATAGCAAGGATTATACTGGGTACAAGTGGATGTATCTACATGTGTGTTTGTGTGATGCATTTGACCGATGGAAAATGGACCAGATCTCATTCAACAGCTGTATAATGTCAGCATAGCCAGGAAACAGGAACAATCGTTATTCTATTCATGTGTGCGTGTGTGCGTGCATATGTGTGTGTGGTTGGGTGGCAGAGAATAGCACAGTTGTGTCAGCTGTGACACTGAAGGAGATGACTTCAGCAAACTGCACAAAGTGTGATAAGAGAGACAACTCTTTGTATCAACAGAGAGAGAGTGTGTAAGCGAGAAAAGAGAGACAGAGGGTTACACAGGCAGTGGAACGGGCCCGACTGGATCAAAGGCATCCATGATGTGTTTCGTCTAGTCGTGTCAGGTTCAACCCAGGCGCTCAGTACAATGTGTCTAAATGAGAAGGTGTACAGCAGGTAGTTCTATTAAAAAGGCAGACACAACGCCCAATTGTGCAAGATGAAACCCTGGGGAGGCTCTGGTGCCAAAGTTGTTCTCAGCTTTCCAGGAACAGGACAAACCGGAAGATGTGCAATCATCTGTTACTGCTGTTACTATCTGTTTACTTAATGACACAAGAGGCTGTCACTGGACAATGGCACCTTGTATCTGAATTAATGGTCATAAAGCAGCTTCAGGCAACTGTTGTTGTGATGTGGCGCTGCATAAATAAAATTGAACTGAATTAACGTAATCTTTACACACTACTCACAAATATGTAATGAATGCTAAAAAAAAAAGCCAAATCGAGTGTACTTCATAATCTACCTTAATACCTCCAATATAGCAGATTTTATATTTTCTAAAGACAAAATCCTCTGTTACCAAACTGACTCTTATCAAAAATAAATGAAAAATGTTAAAAGAAAACCTCCAACACATGCATTCGCACACACACACACAACGGGAACAAGACAGACAGCAGGTGGTATTCGGGTAATAGTCGAGCATGTAACAGGTTGTGAGGCGGAAAGCTACAAATAAAAAGAACAGCAAAGAACAGGGGAGCCATTATGTTGGTCTTTTGTGACTGTACGGGGCCATAAATACCATTTATACTCTGAGGTATAGCTTACACAACCACGCTAGCCAATGAACAAATCTAGGCAGCAAAGCAGTGATGTGGAAGAAAATTGAAGATGAGCAGCAAGTCATGATCAGGTTGCTGGTTTAACATTATGCTGGATGATGTCATAGGTATACTGAGGAAGCCTTGTTTAAGGGACACCTCTGCATCTGTGTTCAACACCACAACAAGTGCCTGAATGAATTATTTACAGCACCCATGGCACTGACACTGATATTTACTACAACACCGGTGTGTCTAACCAGTATAGGTACTGAGGAGCTCATTCTCTTGCTGTTTACTAATAAGACAGATGTTGTCATAAGACGGTTTCCAATATATGTAAAACATTTCAAGCCCTATAATATGGCCTTCACTTTCTAACCTGATAGGTGTTTAACAGTAGTAATACATTCAACTTGCCCAACATGTCTCCTATTTCCTCAGCTCTGGCAGGTCGTCATCAGCTGTCAACAGGCTGGAAACCACCTACACATGACCTGAAATCTCATACCAGAGGCTGTGTTAAAGGCGCACACCCATAAGGAATGGTAAGGGGAATGCATGTCAGGATCAATGCACACTTTGTGCAACTGAAGAGCTAAATCTACCAGGTCATCAGTGTGTAGGGCATCTCACTACAGCTGAGAGCAATTTTATGCATTCAGAAACCATTTGCGTTATTACACATCTTAAGGCAAACCAGACACCCTTTAGCCCACTAGAGGTGTTATTGGGGATCAGCATATATAAGCCGTGGCTTTGAATCTTTTACTCTGACCATGACATCAGGCTCCGCACGTAGACTGTGGGTCAACAATATTAAGTTTACACTGTAGGAGGAGACTTAAG